CATCCAAATCATCAGTCGGAGCAATGTCAAACTGATTACTTGATGGAAATAGGTTAACCGATTTTTTGGGGTATAACTTGGAAGAATCGGAAAGAAATTGCTGATAAAAGACATCAGATATGTTGCCTGCTTCCCGAAACCCTGTAGGGTTTCCAACTCCATGGACGGTATCTTGCTTGTTCACCATGACCTTGTCTACCCACTTGCCTGAGCCAGTCTCTCTGTCATCGTCCCCGAAGTTTTGACAAGGACTGCTGACTGGCGGCCAGGGAGGTGAATTCCCGAGTAGCTCATCAAGATCAAAGCTTTGCCTCTTTTGCCTCGGTGCAGAATTGCTGTGGACCTGCGATATCAGCAGAGGCAAAACTATAACATTGAGATTTTTGAAGATCAGAACAAAATTTAATCTTTCTAAAGACACGTTGAATTTAACTATAGAAGCACAGTTGAATGAACATAACAATAATATATGCTCTATACATTGAACCTTGGTGATACACAAGAACATAAATATCTTGACCAATAGCAAAAGCCAATGCTCATAACAGTAAGTGCATTTACCTCTATGTTCCCTACATCTTCCATTGGTTTCCTGAGGCCATTAGGTGACTGCATGCCCACATTTCTAGCTAGTAAATTAGATTGAAAAGATGATTGCTGCATGGATACTGGTTCTCCTTTCCTTGCTAAGGCAGCCTTCAGACTGGCAATCTATCAAGACACCGTAACTTAAGCAACTTAACTATGATCAAATATCCGAACACCTAATAGACTAGCTTATAAGGATTGAAAACAAGATTAGAATATGGACCTCTTCTTTCAGCTCTTTAACATCTGTCGAATCCTTATTTACTCGAGCAGCACCAAGTTCAACCGTAGCAACACGCTCAGCAAATTTGAGTGTGCTAATTGTTTCTCCTACAGCATCAGGCTCAGGGCTTATATGAACAAACATAAGTGTCTTTGCCTGTCCCCCTAAGAAGAATCATCAAACCATATTAAGAAATAGAAGACCAAAACTTGAGAAATCCACAGAACAAGCCTGATATTCTGTTTATCCTTACCAAGTGAATCTTGGAGCAGTTGTGTGAGTTTACTGTTTCTATAGGGTACGTGAGAATTCTTTTGGGCAAGAGAGGCAATCACGTCGCCCAATGCAGAGAGAGATTTATTAATGTGCTGTGCCTCTTTTAGTCTCTCTCCTGTCACTTCAGATTTGTCAACCCTTTCACTTCCAGCCAGATCAACTAGATGCATGCAACCTCGAAGAATGGCTCCAGTGGTCAAGTCTCTTCCTTGGACATGAACAGTTAAGCAACTGTGATAATAAATAATACAAAAGTCAGTGTATCGGAAAAAGTTAAATATTATATTTACAACACTTGTATTCACCTATGAGAGCGACTACTACGGTCATTTAGGGCAGTTGCACCCACTGCACGATTCCTTTGTCCGAGGTTCATAAGGTCAATTACATCAGATGTTGAAGAGACGTGAACCAAGCTAGCATCTGGTACACTGAGTCCCGAATGAGAACTATTACGAATTTCTAATGTGATTATAATTAAGAATACTTTTGAGTAGATAAAGCTGTACAATTTGCTGTGTAATACAATGACAAATATAAATGAAAATTTGATGGTGTAAGATAATAGTAATTGAAAGGATATCTTTTATTCAAGCCATCAGTAACAAGGAGATCTCTAACTTGCTCATTATATATCTCGATCATCTGGACAGACACGTCATAGCGGAACGTGTCCTTTCTTTGTTGTGCAAGGAGGAACAAATCGCCTAAGGCCCTGTAATTTACTCCTTGGGTATGCTCGTTAATATCCTTAGGTCCAGTCTGGAAACAATATAAGAAAGTTAACATTTGTGTTTCTTAACCCAAATGAAATGTGTTGCCATAATTTAACAGATATTTGGCTTCTATATCTCACCATAGTGTAAGTTTTTCCTGATCCTGTCTGACCATAAGCAAATATACATACATTGTAACCATCAAGGACTGATCTAATCAATGGTTGGGTATCCGAGAAAACCTCCTCTGACATAGAGAAGAAGAATAGGTTATAAAATAAGTTATGAAACACTTAAATGGTTAGCAATAGGAGCCTTTAAATTTTCAAGTTGCTGGCCTAAAAACCTTGTGTAGCAGAAGGCCCAAATACTTTGTTAAAAGTGAAGGATTTGCATCCTTTTCCATTCTTTGCTGGAGTACTTATCGTAATAGTTCCTTCTTCAATGTGATCTACATTGCTGAAGTAATTCAATTGCCCCGGAAGGAATGGTCTTACACGACAATAAACTCTAATGTTTCCTGGTTGAAGATAAATATTTAGCATTACTTTCATGGGAACTCAAATACAAGACAACTAATTGATAAGACTTGTACAGGCACAGTAACATACCCTTTAGGTCCTGGACTTGATTATAGAGTTTGCGGTTTTCCTCAAGAACTTTATGGTATCCAGAAGCAGCATGAGCAAGTCCATGAATGTGTTGGCCTGTAAAGGAAATAAACTCGAAGAATGATTGTTACAGCAAGGGACTATGAAAGTTACATTAACTACTAGCCAGGGACTAAGAGTTACAGTATAAAACCAGATGAATTCAGCAAGAAAGTTCAAAATTTTACCAATATTATGAATTTCTTCATGGAACTTCATTTGCATGAACTGCATACCAGCTTTTGTAGTAGAAAGAGTTTGCTTCAATACCTAGAGCGCATAAATCACATAAATTATTCACATTTCTTACCCAGTTTAACCCTTCCAAAAGCAGAATCAATTTTTTAAAAGGCAACGGTGAGGAGGGTTTTAGTTTCACTTGGTTTTTACCTTGATATCATTTTGTTGTTGGCCCACTATCATTTGTTGCTTCACAAATCTTCTTTCAGATTCTTCATCAGGAATGTAGTTCTTACAAGTTACATCATCCTTCTTCATGAGGGAGCCCTTCTTATTATCGATCTTAGTTGTTTAATAGTAAAAATAAAAAATACCAAGTATAAGTACTAGAAACATACTTCTAGAGAATCACTTTCTTACTAGGCCCTCGTTTGATTCTCATTATTTTCAAAATACATTTTTCTCTCTCTGTTTTTCAACCACACATTCTTCAATAAAATAACATTACGCCCAAACCCAAAACTTTTACTTATTTTTTAACCACACATTCTCCATCAATATACTATTCCAAAAATACATTCTTGAACAAAAATGAGAATCAAATGGGCTCTAGATTTCTTTTGTATATGACATTTAAACAAGCTACCTTTAGGTTGAATGAACAAGGTTTCAATACAGATTTGCTTCCATGGGAAACATTCAAATCATTTGAAGTTGCTTTTCTCTGGTAGACAAAAGCATGCAACAAGAGAAAAACTGTGAGTTTTCTAGAAGCAATATCAATAATAGTCTTGATGTAGCAATGATAAAATAAATAAAATATTGAAAAAGATATGTAGAGTATTTCTGGAGGAGAGTGGTACTTATTTTCACAAGTACAAGAGAAATTTGTGCTGTGATTAGAAAGAATAGCATACCAATTCAATTTGGCTGGCAATGCGTTGCTCAAACTCCTCGACAACCTTATTTAATACAGACTCTACAAGCTGTAACAAGCAGAAGTGTTGCAGTTCAGAATCAAATGTATTAGATAAAAAATATTGATTACTCGTAAGTTCTTACGAAAAAGCATTGCGATTATCAGTATTATGTATTAGAAATAAACAACACATCATAAGATTTCTATACATTTCGATTCCCAGTCAAAGATTCCCCATGTAAAGGATCAAAATGCTGGCACATATTATTTTGACTTGCAACACTTAAATTAGAAATTAGCATTGGGCTTATTGACACTTACATTTGGAACTTCTTCAGGCTTCTTGTCTAATAAAATTGCACGAACAAGCATACTTAAGGAAGAACTAGACTGCAAAAAAAAAGGCAAATTACTTTAGTTTATGACTCTATGGTCCAAGGGGGACAAAAAAGAGAGAATTTCTAAATCAGCCAGAACGGTACACTTACCATTTTGTTAGATTCCAATTCAGGGCATACACCATTCAAAGATTTCTCATTTGCTGACAGAGTCCTTGACAAAGAATTCGTGAATGGCTCAGAATTCTTGCGAACAAATTGTTTTCCAGATGCATTAGTTTTCACATTTCCACCAAATTTCCAGACCCCATTACCTCCTGCCTGTTTATACTCACTGTATGATTTAAGTGCCAAAACACAATTTACGATCCTTGAAGATTTACCTCCCTGAAAAATTATCAATCTTTATGAACTACTGTCTGGCTCAGCTCCAGAATGAAGCAGCTTTAAAAATACAAGTCCCGAGTATGATTTTAGTTATAAATTGGCGTGTATACTTCATTTTGACTCCTAATTTATAAATTGGGATGAACTTCCTGAAGAGTCTGTGCATTCATTATAAATTTTTCCTTCCAAAAGCTACACTTACTTGTTCGAGATCAGAGGCCTCAAATGTAGGAATCCCTAACTCTTGTATGGCTACAAGAAAATTTCTCACGTTTTCAAAGTATTGGTATGCAGATAATGCAGCACCATCAGGTATAAGAGCAGCATCGCAGGGACTTTCAACAACCTGAAATAGATTGATCGAGGTCAATCAAGTTAAAAAACATAGATTAAAACTTACTAAAATAGCTTGAAAGGAGGGGGGAGAGAACGACTGGATTTACCTTTTGTACAGCTCCAGGTTGAATTTTGTTGACTACATTACATAGGATAATCCCACTTCTCAAACCAAGCCGAAATTCTTCCTCAGAAGGTTCAGCTGGTAAGTCTTTTGCGCCTACAACTCCTACATTTTTTCTCAACCACGCTGCAGCTTCATATCTTCTCATGGCTACAGAATCAGATAGACGCATTACTCAATTTTGATTCTACCAGGCAAAAAAAATATACTGCGAATAGGATCCAAGTTGTAAATTTTTTGAATCCTCCTAAAAATGCCTCTTAAGAGGAAAGCGCATGTATCAATTGCATTGAAACGTGATCAGAAAATGAAAAGTCAGATGAATCATAAACTCAACCCACACACATCATCCGATAGATTTAATTTTAAAAAAAAACCAACAGATTTAAAAATCGGAAAAATGGGAGGAAAACTGTTGCTAAAGAATTCCATCTTCCAGCTACCAATAAATTGATATAGAGAATTTTACCGAATCAAATTGTTTATATCGTTAAATGCCTTGCAACCATTTATCAGAAAACAAATTTGAATTCGCCCCAAAAAATCAACTAAAACTGGAGTTTAAAACAAAAAAATTAAAATTCCAACAAGAATTATAAAATCAGTCGAAAAGGGTGATTAAATTACCAGCTTCCTCAGCTCTTCGAGCGTCCAAATCGAGATCTCGGGCCCCGTTTCCATGCTGTTGCAGAACATCCTCGACTACTGACGCCGCTGAAAATGAAAACGCACCTTCTACTGCCGCCATGGCGATCGCTAGAAATTCTCTTAAAATCGAATTTTATCCCTCCACCATACACAAAATCTCCGGAAATTATAAAAAATTCAAATGTATGCCTATTAAACAGGATCCTAGGCTTTTAGGACCTAAAACCAGAGTGACCTCAGGATTTCAAGATCAGTTCAGATAGATATAACAACGAACAGAGAATACACCCTTTTTCTCTCTCTTCGACACTACAGTTCCGCGTTGGCCATGCTCATTGAAATCCTTCTTCACTTTTCTCTCTCACCCACACACAGTCTTTCTGTACAAAAGAAAAGCTTCTCCTATGCTTTGTACCACTGCTACTGAGTATATAAAGTGGAGGCTACTTTTTGAATCTCTCTTATGTAGCCTGTCCAAAGCCACATGATTCCGAGCCCCGCTCCGAACCTCCAGGCTCAGGATCTAACAGTGCAGGTTGTACTCTCCCTCCCTTGCCCTTAATTTCTGATTTGTCATGTACACCCCGCCAATCTGGCGAAATAGGAAATAGGATATCTTCGTCTTGGTTTTTTTGTAAAATTTTATTTAATTTATGCATTTTTTGTTATTTTATTTAATTTGTCAGAATTGAACGTGCATTACATATCATTTTCAAATATTTTATAAGTATTGTAAAAGTAATATTTGATACTAATTTGTTGGGAGGAGTTGATGAGTCTCAAACGAATTAAAGAAAATAAAATTTAGAATATAAATTTAAGAGAAGAAACTTATATTGTCGAACTCAATTTTTATTATTCAATTTTTTTGTAATAATGAAAAGTAATTAGCAATATTTTTATACTGCATTTGATACATAAGAATTAATTGCTAATATATGAATTTAAATAAGCATTAAAATTTCTAAATATATGAATAAAAATAAACTCATCTATAATAACTCTAGATTCATCAAGTCAAAATTCATCGAGTCTAGATTAATGCGAATGTTAATTAATTGAGGATTAATAACACGAAATTCATACATGACAAGAATTTGATATATGTATTGCGTATTGAAAAACGAAAAGTAGACTATTAATGAAATAATTAAATTGTAATATGGTTAAAATTGTAAAAAAAAAAAAAAAAAAGATTATCACCTGATATAATATTTAATATATTATAGATTTAATCTAGAAAATAAAAATTGTGATCGTTTAAAATGAATAATGCATTAACAAAGCAAATAAAAACTACTCGTCAGTTTTGGAAATACATGTTTAGTACGCAATATTAAAATAGTTGGATCATTCAATTTCTTGCAATTATTTTGTGGGGACATAACAAATCAATGGGACGATATTACCAAGAGGAAGAGAGCGCTTGTCGAAGTGGCATATAATGAACAAAATTTTAACATTGTTCAATAATTATAAATTTTTCATATTAAATATACTGTAAATGTATAAAGATTTTTCTTACTTTTTACATAAAATTAGAGGCTGTAGAATGAAATGGACCTTTTGTTATACATGAAAATGGAGGGAATGTGTTAAATTGGGTAAGCAAGGTGGGTGAACACTTTAATTAGTTTGGAAGTCCCAATCCTGAGCAGATGCCCACTATGGGAGAAGAATCCAATGAAGTGTCTATCTTTTGGCAATGATAATTAGACATTTGGCTAAGTTAAAAAAAGAAAAAAAATTGCTTATAAGTAAGGTTAAGGGTAAATAAGTCTTTCAATTAATTAAGGTTAAAATAACTGAATTGCTCATTTCAACAGTAGTAGGTAAGAAATTTAACTGTTCTTAAATATAAGTAAAAATAATAGCCAAAAATATATTTGAAAACAAAAAGTTTAATTTACGTATAAGCTAAGCGAAGAATGCTCTCATTCATGAGTTACCAATTTGATCGATGTCATATTGAGAATGTGAAAAACGCGTGTTAATTTTTCAAGTGGAGAAATCGAAAAAATGAAATATTTCTTGCTTTGTGAACATTTTACTATTTTGAGATCAATTATACTTAGCCAAAATATTGGGTTTTTGTTGTTTCATAGTTGATCCTTATAATGCGAGCCGTAATTTGTCAAGTTATCGTCCCAATCCATAGTGATTAACTTCATATCGATACACTACATTTTTTTAAGTTTTCAAAAGAATGTACTTCTGCATAAAAAGGAATTGTTTTAATTTTTTTTTTTTTACCAAGTATATACTCGTATATAGATGAGTAATTATTTTATTTACAAACAAATGAGATTTTAAAATATCAAATGGTTGCTTGATAAACTTTGATCTATATATGCAAATTTACTCTTTACAGAAACACTTCATTCATTGTATATTAAAGATATCAATATCATGATATGATTGAAAAGTATTTCGTGAATATCACGACATATTGTATGACAACAAGATAACTATGATAATTGTGTTTACTTTTAAATCGCTGGATGTTGTAACTGCCTTTTAAGTATCATTTCATGTGCTTTCTTGTCTAGGCAGACTATTCATATAAAGTGTGATATTTTATTCAATGATATGACAAAGATAATTTTTTTAAAAAAATTGATTTGACTCGATCAAAATAAGGCGAATGTGAGGAACTATACACCAAAAATTAGGAATATTAGCCCGTCCCTCCAATTTCAATTCAAATAGAATTTCAAAATTTGAAGATGCATTTGGTTGGTGTGATGGCATTGTCCTCATGTTTGATTATCCAATAAGATATACTCTTGAATGACTCTTGGCTTGCCCATGGGTTATGGCCCACACCTTAAGAAACTCATGTAAATGCTTTGACAAATTTAGCCTTGAGTTTTAATAATTTTTCTTTCTTTTTATTATTTTTTTGGTTGCCCTTTCTCTAAAACGATTGAACTTTTGTACCAACAAGAACAATAAAATATGTCCAAAAAATTGATTTTTTTATTTCAAAGTGAATTAAATCAATATTCTTTTCTTATCTATTACGTTGTTCAATCATTTTATGCATCACATATCTAATATGTATCTCTCGCATCTCGAAACTTAAGACACTAAGACCATGTTTGCAGGGACGGATTCAGGACCGAATTATAGGCCAGACTAATACGTAAAAAAAAAAATTACACTATCATTTTTTTTTTACATAAATTATTTTTTTCTAACTAAAAAAAAATCAGTTGGGGAGGGAGGGGGGCTGTAGCCCTGCCAAGCCCCCCTTGCATCTGTCCCTGCATGTTTGATTTAGCTAAAAATTAAAATTTTAGTAAATTTTGATAAAAGTTAATGAAATACGTGATTGAAAATAATTGTTGATATTTATTTAGATTTTTATCAAAATTTTATACTCAACCAAAGAGAGATTAAATACATGTCGAGTGAATTTTCATGTAATGGAACCTTCTATACAAGATAAAGTCGTGAAAAAGAACTAAATTCCCTAACGACCAATCTTTTTCCTTATTTTGAGATCACTCTTCGCTTTCATCAGAAATATTCTTTTGTTTAGACTATATATCTCTTGCTTAGTCTCCAAGATGATCCACTTGTCTGAATTTACCTTCAATGGCTGGTGTACATGCTACAATCATTGTTTCAATTTTGCCACGGTAATACTTTGAAGTTACCCTTTCGTTTTTACAATCTAAAACTTCATTTTTGAGATAAACTTGAGACGAATTAAGGAAAAATAATCAGCTAATCACGATGTGCGTAATTAGAATTGTATCCATTCCAATGTTGAATTCGTGGATTTTTTTTTTTTGATAACCGTGGATGTTCGGGTCAGCTTGCGCGCACTTCGACTAATTTCACGGGGCCCTGAAGTTTACGGCCGGGTACTCACCTCAGTGGCCTTGAGGGGATGAATTCGTGGATATATAAAAGTAAATAGGGAAGTTTCTTTGATCGTGTAGGGGATGAAAAGTTATTCTAGCGGATTGTTTCGAAGTTACTTGAGAGATTCGATTAAAAAATTTCGTAGATTCTGAAAATGCTCGAAAATTACATGAAATTGAGAAAATCTTCAACGTATGTATAAATATTTCTATCGTACATCTTTCTCTTGGGTCGATGAACAATAAGCTATTAACCTCATTTAAAACTGAAAATTGACAAAATGTCTCGCTCTTGATAGTGTAAGTAGGCAATGCTTCATTTTCAAGAATGATTTATTGTTGAAAACGTCTACCTTCAAATTTGGTGTCGTTGATTTTATTTTATAATAAATAAATAAAAATTAACCAAACGTCACAACAAACCTTTGGGCTTCAATTCCAAGTATGAAGCTTTTTACCAAACATTTTGCTTGCTTTGAGTCAAAGTACATTATTCTTAATAGAAATAAACAGCCGAGGCACCATAACTAATTTTAATCGAAAAAAGAGAATTTTTTGGTGTATATCAATTTTCAACTTCCATGGGTGCGGTTGGTTTTGATTCATTTCTAATTCTTTTTGTTAATAATAGTGGATAAGAATATATATAAGAAGAAGAAATGAATGTCGTGGCAAACTTCGAGATGAATTTTATTTTGTTTTTACTTTCTTTAAAAGAATTCGGTTGCACAATATAAATTAAGGAAAATTATACTCGTACACCCCGGGGTTTACAACCCCTTCACATTGTGTAAATTTGGCTGTACACCGTTATATACCTGTAGCATCTCTCATAAATTAAATATTATTATTTGATGACAATAAATTAAAATTTTTATATCTTAATAAATTTAGAGTTGATTATAATTTTTTTTTTTGTAACTTTAATTGACAAATCTTAATAAGCCATAATAAGATGGTAATTTATATTTTGCAAAAAGTTGAAAAGTCCTCATTAGTTTGTTACAACTTGAAAAAAAAAAAATCATAATTAACAGAATTTTTTTTTTATAATCGTAGATGTCTGAGCCAGTTTGCGCGCACCTCGACCAATCCCACGGGACCCTGAAATTTACGGTCGGATACTCACCTCAGTGACCCTGAAAGGACTCGAACTGATGACCATTGGGGAGCAAACCCAAGACCTGACTAATTGAACAATCCCTCAAGATTATAATTAACAGAATTT